TTATTAAAAAAACTAACTATAAACAAATTTAGAAGATGTACAGCAATAGCTTCTAATAAATGAGCTAATAAAATAACGTATCGATATGCATTAATGGTTCTCTAAATGTTAAATCATTAAGGTATAAGTTCGAAAAGATGCTAATAACAATCTCTATAACATAATACAAATAGACTTCTAAATAAATATAGTTTTAATATTGCTCTATTAGGAAATTCATACTGCCATACGTATTATATTAACGGTCATATCAAAATGTAAACTCTAGAACTAATTCAGAAAGGCAATCAAATTAAGTCAAATTAGCATTATTAACATAATACAGCAATATTTATCAAGATTCTTAAAGTGCATCTGTACTTTCCATATTTATATCAACAAGATGAGCCACACTGGTCATATTCAAAAATATAAACTCTAGAATATAGAAAAGTCAAATTAGATTATTAACATAATACAATCTTAAAGCACATCTATACTTTCTGTATTTATATCAACAAGATGAGCCGCACTGGTCGTATTCAAAAATGTAACTCTAGAACTAATATGGAAAAGTCAAATTAGATTACTAATATAATACAATCTTAAAGCGCATCTATACTTTCCGTATTTATATCAACAAGACAAACCACACTGGTCGTATTCAAAAATGTAGACTCTAGAACTAATTCGTATGACAATTTAATAAATCCATCGAAATTCTTAAAGCGCATTCATACTTTCCATATTCGTATCAATAAGAACTATTTAAATAGTACACTGGTCGTATTCAAAAGTGTAGACTCTAGAATTAATTTAAAAGACAATTAGCACTCTTAGTACAATAAAACATATCTATAATAATGTTAATATCCTTTACTTCCCGTATTTATATTGACAATTAAAATGCCATGCTAATCGTATTCAAAACTGTAGACTCTAGAGCTAATTCAAAAAAAGACAACTAAATTAGCATTATTAGCACTAACACGTCTCTAAATCTTGTAATAATAAATTAAACAGAAATTGTAATGTAAATACAAATTCTATGACTCGAATTCTTATTTGAATAAAGAGATGAATCTATCAAATAAATTTAGTTAGCTTAAATTAATAAATTAAAATGCAGTGAGTGATTTGATGATGCTAATATTTCTTTACAAATAATGCAATCAAAGTTTATATATTCAAAATATCACAATTGCAAATATTATTGTAATAGTATCTGCAATAATGAGATTCAGCACCTGATCGCATGGCTTGAAAACCTAAATAAAAGCCATTTACTTTTTTTTTCTCATTCACTAATTCATCTCTCTCTTACACCAAGCACTAAATATAAAACTTTCTTACTATGTCTAACATGTCAAACACATATTACACAATTATTGATTCTTCTGAGTCTTCTCCTGAAGGCTCCATGGTCTCTTCTCAAAATTCTCAGGTTGAAAAAAAGCAAAAGATTACTAATTCTTCCCCAGAATCTTCTAATAAAGTTACTGAAATCTCTATTCAAGATCCTAAAAACTATGTTAATTCCGATTATTCCAAAAAAAAGCAAAAGCATGAAATTGAGTATGAATATTCTGACGAATCTGATAATGACTTTAACCCTCTTTTCAACGAAGAAAGTTTGATAACTCGGGTTGAATCTTTGAATCATAAGTTGTTGCAATGGATTGTCCTTAATAAACATCCATTTTCAGTACTTGAAACAATCTCATTTTTAAGATTAATTTCCACTTTCGACCTGTATTATGAGATTCCAGACCATCAAAACCTCTCTTCTAATATAAACAAAAAATTTGATTCAGCGAAAGTAAAGGTTCAAAAAATTATAAAAGCTAATCAAAGCAAATTGACACTCGTCTTGAATACTTTGAATACATGTACAAACCAACATTTTCTCGGTATTGTAGCTCATTGGATTGATAAAGAATGGAAGTCAAAAAACCTTCTTCTCGATTTTGTTTCCTTGGATGATACCTATACTGAAATATATCTCAAAGGAAAAGTTTTTAAACTTGTCAAAGATATGAAAATAAAAGAACAAATAATTGGAGTCACTAGCAATAATACTATAAGTAATCAGACGTGTATTGATTACCTTAAAAAAGAGATAAATCCTGGACTTGAATATGCAAGTTGTGCTATGCATGCGATTAATCTCATGGCTGAAGCATGTCAAAAGAAATACTTTTATCAAATTCAAAAAGTTCGTCAATTTATTACCAAAGTAAAAACATTATCATTGTTTTTGGAAGAAATAAAAAAATGTTCTATTGGTATAGACCGTCTAACTCTCCATGTTAAAATCGATGACGACAATATAAAGTGGAATTTCACAGGGTGGAATTCCACTTATTTGATGCTTGAACGGTTTAGTCAAATCCAAAATTTTATTAATATCATTATACAACCGTATCCAAATATAAAAAAACATTTTTTAGAAAATAATAACCTGATAATTATCAAAGAGATGGTACAGCTTTTTAAGCCATTTCATGAGGCAACTTTGATCCTTTCCGACACTTCACAACTCTCTCATGGTTCTTTACGATTAATAATCCTAGGCCTCTCAGCGCATCTTAATAATTATCTTTTTGTTGGTGGTGTACACTATGAAGCAGCCTGAGAGATGAAAGTCAAGCTAGAGGAATATTGGGTTTATCTTTCAAAATTTTCTAAGATCCTAACTCTGATGGATCCATCATCCAAATTTGAAACATTTCATATAACCGATCGTCAATTAGCGATTAATAAATTAAATAATCTTTATTCGTATATGACGGATAACTCTGAAGAAAGCATTAAGGTAGAAAGCATTAAGGTTAAAAATCGGTTAGAAATATTTCATAAACTTGCACGAATAAATAAAATCAGAGAAATAGATGAATTGGAAGCCTATCTTTCGTTACACCGCGAGCCAGAGACAGATCCGTTGTTGTGGTGGAAGAGCCATGTCTCCTATTTTCTGACCATAGCTGGCATTGCAGCAGACTATTTGACCTTGCAAACAACTTGTATTTCTTGCAAGCATGTTTCTTCTACCGCAAAATATACTATTGACCATATCAGAAATAGTACTTCTGAAAAAACGGCTAAGGCTTTGTTCTGCTTAAAAAATTGGTTCGAAGCAGAAATAGTTGAATAGAAATAGATTAAATATAGATCTTTTTTCTTTTTAGATAAAGTTTATCGTTATCGTTATCTTTTTTGTACAACGTAAAATGTCATATGATTTTTTTGTAAACTAAACTTCAATCCACAGATTGAAGACATTTATGATTAGTAAAATAAAATTCTAACGTTGTCACACTATAAAGACACCTTTCATTAAGTATCTTGTCTTTATAGAATTAAAAAATATTAAATATTACGGGAGGAATTAAAAGCGAAGTAAAGTCAATTTTCATAGTAATTTAATATAGCATGAGACTATAAAATTTTACTATAAAAAATCTTAATTAGTGGATGAACACTATATCATATGCACTATGTTTGTAATTAGACCGATGATAGACACCCCAATGTCTTATGCTGTCCCGAACTGTATATTAATGATCGATTCAATTCATATAATACATCAACTAACGATTTGGATTATTGCTCTTCCTTAATAAAATATGATAATCTTAACGTATATTAATAAAACAATAATTGTTTAAACTTTTTTTTGATAATTATTGGTTTTATTTTTTTTTTATAAATAAAAAAAAAAGAAAAAAAATACAATCAATAAAAATTAAATAATTTTAACATGCTTTACATGCTTTGCATTTCTTCTGAAAGTAAAGGAATTACATAAAATGTTTGATAAAAATCGATTTTATATACTTTTTCAAACGAGTGTAAAAACAATTATTTTTTTTGATTTTTTTTTTTTTTTTGGTTTAAAAAAAAGAAAAGAAAAAACTCCAAAATATTTATAGGAAAAAATTTTGAAATTTAAAAAAAACTTATAATAAAAGTTATCGGATTAAATTGCTGTTTTTTGACCACAGCACTTTGAAAAGTTTAATGAAGAAGCGAAAAAGAGTACCTAAAATTGTTCACATGAAATTGCAATGACAAGCAAAAGCTTGGAAATTTGTAGAGCGGATGAGGAAAAATAATGAAAAAGATCAACAAAACCGATAAATAAATGAAAAGTTAAACAAAACGTCTATAGTACAAGTCTCATTTTTTTTTTTGTCTTTATGTTTTTTGAAGGGAAAGGAAAACTAGAGGAAGGAAAAAAAAAAAAAAAAAGGTACAAGAAAAAAAAAGCCCTGCTTCAACTAAAAAAAATTAAAAATATGAGAATATATTACAAAGGAAAAAGGGCTTCCTCTGTTAGTTCCCCTTCGTGTTAACCATGTAACCCAAGAAATATGTATATAATATATATATGTATAAGAAAGTTGTCCAGCTACCCAAGTTTAAGCTTTTTGTACAAATACTTAAAGCAAATTAAGCAATTCAACAAATACACATTAATTCGCCGGGGGAGAACATCTCAACCCTCAAGCGAGTTATAATAAATTTCGAACTCAAAAGGACGGACTCCAGCGTCCCATCACGGTCCAACCCAAGTTCGAACTTTCATCAAATATAAAGCTCTGACTTGCCATACTTTTTCTTTTTTCCATCCAGTATGCTATGTCCCTGAAAGTTTGAATTTGGCTTATCATCAAAAGTTAAACTTCTAGTTCTCTGTGATTTCCCTTCACCAGTCAACGCTGAAAAGCTTTGTCTACGATAAATATTTATAGGTCTTTTTTGAGGTGCTGATTCTTTCATATTCCCAGAAAAGGTCACATGATTTGAAGAAGTAGGAGACGAAACAATTGATCTGTTTTTACCATCATCAGTACAAGGAGAACTGTCTGGAGATGGGGATATTGGTGAAGGAGAAGTAGAACTTTCAGTTGAAGACGAATTTGCTGTAATATTTAAAGATTGGCCGGTCTTTTTAGAATCCACGGATTCTGATTCATTGGAATTAGTTCTTCTATGAAAATATGAAGGAGATGCGGACTTGGCACGTGGAGGAAAATTTTCTCCTTGAATTTTTCCAGGGCTCAAGCTATCCTTTTGTTCAACCGGTGAATGATTATTAATTTGTGATCTTGAGGTATTATTATTTCCATTTCTTCCAGAACCGAAATTTTGTTGTCCAAAATTACGTCCAAAAGTAGGAGGGCGATGCCGATCATATACATTCTTTCCAGTATTGAAATTATTGTCTCTATACCTTCCACCATCAGTGAAAGTGTAAGACCTTTCCCTTCTACCATTCGTATGATAATGTGGTGGAGAAGGTGTATCAAATGGATAAGGTGTATTAGGACTAACTGGAGAATTTCCACTGGTGAATGTATAAGAACGTTCTCTATTAAATGCTCTATTGCCTTGACGTGGAGAAATCGTTTGAGGAATAGGTAATAAACGAGAATCTTTATTATTATAACTAAAAGTATTAGCACGTTCACGGTTTCTAATTCCATCTCGACCTGAAGGAAATCTTGTATCCTGTGGAGAATATCGAGCATCTTGTGGTGAATATCTATAATTTTGGCTCGTAGTGGTATTAATATCTTTATCATCTCGTGAAGAATGGTTCGTGTTAGTTGGAGATTCTTTTGTAACATAACCATAACGGGCATTATTACCGCCCGTAGGAATAGGTTTTCTCGTTCCTTGAGTTGTTGCCAATTGTGTATCTTGCATATGAGCAATAGTTCTTTTAATAGTAGATGATGGTGGAGGAACAGTATGACCACTACCAGCAGCATCTCGAAGATTTGGAACGCTCCGTTTGAGGAATTTGGAAGCTAAAGAATTTGGACGAATATTAGGAATACTTCGTCTAGGACCTAGAGGAACATTTTCGTCTGTTTCATCCTCATATTGTGGAATATCAAATTTTTTATTTGGAGAAGCAACATCTTGAGATTGTATATTATTTGATGGAATAGCAATTGATAAAGGAGAAGGGATTGAAGGTCTTCTACTTTGTATATCTCGCAAATCACGGGTTCCTTTTATAGAATTGGCTCGAGTTCGTTCCAAATCGAAATAATCTTGGTTATTTTGATTTCCATCAGCACCATTACGAATAACTTGAGTCCTATGTTTAGACAATTTTTCTGTCATATAAATGTTCTCATCATTAACATGATTTATCCAACCATCAGAATCACCAACCAATCCACCATCAAAGCCTGAAAATTCTTGATCAGCATTGTCAATCCAAAAACCGTACTCATTAATCGGAGTTGAGGGAACAGAATTCATATCTTGGCTATCGAAATTATTATCATTCCAAGATTGACCATTTTTCCAAGCATTTTCATATTTTTGAACCTCTTGTTCCCATTGAGCATTTGAATCTTTAACAATGTTCCAAGTAGTTTTCATGGAAGGTCTTCGACTGTATGAAGACTTTCTGATATTTTCAGGACGTTTTCCACGTCGTTCATCTCGGCCATTAGGGTGATAACTATTATCAGTGTAACCAGGGTCACGGTAAGGTAACGAGAAAGAACGTGGGGATACAGTGCCGAATTTTTGGTATGGTTGAGTCACATTTGTATTAGGAGATATGGTTAAAGAATTTGCACGTTCTGGTGCACCAAAACAAGTCATATCATCCTTATTTTTAGTGCGCCATGAAAAATTCTTTCTTTTATAAAAAGGTGAAGGTGGAGGGGAAACATAAGGAATTTCATCATCGTAATCATTTCCACCACGTGGAGATTTTATTGTCAGCGGAGATTGTGACCTGATACTTCGTTGACGTGGAGAAAGAGGACGTTCACAAATTTCATCAAAAAATAAAGGTTCTCTAGTCACTTTTTCGGCTTCCATCCCGCTTCCAACCGTATCGCTATAAAATATAGAGAATTTAGCATATAATTATATAATTAAAATAAATAAATTTACAAAATGCATACGCTAGAAATTTTCGCAAGCGATTGTAATCCGGTTCTTCATCGTATTGTAAATTTCTTGCATATTGAAGATAAAGCATAAACCCTCTTGGAAATCCTTCATATAGTTCATCCAATGGAATTTCCTCTTTTATCTTTAACATCTTTGCCCACCCTTGACGGGAATTACGTGCGGTAACTCCGGCCCAAGGAAGATCACCTCGTAATAATTCTAGTAAAACATAACCTAGAGACTCCATATCGTCACGACGAGAATGCTCTATTTTGAATGTATTTAGAACATCAATGAATATATATAAATATATAATGTATGATAACAAGTAAGATAACTATGAATAAATTAACTTACGAAGCCCCCTATGAACGCCTAGAGAGGCGTAACGAGCAGTTCCAGTTTTATTCTTCGTCAATTGTTGATTCTTTTGGATATGCTTTCCAGTTTCATGATCTATATAGAACGCGGATAATCCTACATGTAGAAATATTTAAACATAAATGTCGATTAAAATTAACAACAAATTTATTTAGCATTGAAAAAAATATATTTACCGAAATCTACAATATTAATGTGGTGTTTTCTGCTGACCAAAAGTTTTAGATCCTTAATTTTTGTCTCGGATGCATCATCATCAGAGTCAAATGCGGCAAGTCGGCTTATTTGTAACGGGAAGTTCCTTTCTAGAAGAAAGTTATCGGGCTTAACGTCCCTGTACACAACACCTTGTTTATGTATGTATTCTAATATCGTTACCTAAAAGAGCAGGAAAAAAAAAAAAAAAAAGAACGTTAAAAGAATAAATCGCATAACAATAAATTTGTAAAAAATAAAAAATAAAAATTTAAGCATACCATTTGCTGAGCCACATCACTCACGAAATGTACAGGAAGTTTTGCATATGCTTTTCGGAGCAATCTCAGGTTGGGCCCAAACAAATCAATAATCATGGCATTATATATGCCTTCTGTTCCAAACCAATATACCTTTGGTATGAAACCTTACATAAAATGCATTTTAGTAAAAACTTCTCTGAACATAAAAAAAAAAAAAAAATTGAATAATATTAAACATACTCGCTCCTTTAAGTAGCTTGAGTACCTCAGCCTCATGCGGTAGTTGAGGATGAACGATGTCAATTACTTCTCGCTTTATCGCATATCGTTCATTGGTTGTCGTGTGCACGGCTTTAAATAAAAAAAGAATATTAATTATTAATAATAGTTAAAGATAAAACGGTTAGAATATGTATAAAGAAAAAGGCGTTTAATCGAAGACATAAAATCAAATAAAACCGAAAGTTAACAATGGAAATAAAATAAATTTATTGGAAAGGCTGGAATTTGTCCATATAATAAGTTGTATACTTTTCGAGAATGAAAGCGGACAGACATAAACACTAAAAAAAAAAGAGAAAAAAGTAGATACGAAGAAAGGTCGAGTTAAAATAGAATACATACCTCGAAAGACCTCACCGAAAGACCCCTCTCCGATTTTTTCTTCGACCAACCAATGTCCACCCACGACTACGTCGCCTCCCATTATTATGGACTTAATAATGAAAAAGTTGCGAGAGTGCGAAAGTATGCAAACCGCAAATAGGCGGAATTGGCCTCAAATTAAAATCTTTGAGAGTTCGACTGGAGAAAGTCAATCGAGCTTCAAAGTTAGCGTGATGATAGAGAAGGGAATGAAATCAAAACTAAGAAAAGGTTGGGTTTTCTTTGCTGATAAAAGAGGTTTTTATTTAGCCAGCGAACTAAAACTGAGGGTGAAGGGGAATGTTTGTGTGTGTAGTGAAAAGAAGCAACAACTCAAGCACACCGGAGAACTTGTGCTTTCGTTTGAGAATCAGCACAGCTTTTAAAAAGGCTTGAGCAAGCACAGCACACAACTGAGTCTACACTCTGTTTATTCTGTCGTCAGTGTTTTAAAAAAGAGGTGGGAAAAAATTGGGCAGAGCGAAAACGATAGAATGTATGCGGACAGGGGGTGACAATGTGACATTTGGTGATACGGTACGACGCAAGTAAAAGAAAAGAAAACAGCGGATATTTTAATAAAGATCATAGGATTATAGGGCGTGCGAAAAAAGAACCAAAAAGCAAATCCGGGGGACAATTTTACAATAATAAATAATCCACACCAATCAATAGAATTCGTGATTCTGTCCTAACAGACTTAAACAAATTAAGTATACGAAAACCTAA